GATTTGTTTGTACAGACACGAGTTTGATATAAACCCCTTCACTAAATGCAACATAAGAACTTCGGATAACACGAGTTTTCGAGTGTAGAGATGATCGGTAAAGCAGTCAATAACAACCAAATTTCGTAAGTTAACCATAGAATGAGAGCAGAAAGTATTACAATACCAGGGAAAATCCCAAGTTTGGAGCAAAAATGAAATCGTTTAGAAGAACTTACCAAGAAATTAAACACTTGCTTTGTTGCCTATCAAATGATGAAGAAACAAACCAGCTGCAACACTAACGTTTAAGCTCTCCACAGCAAGAAAATATCTAAGTCCTTCGCCTTCCGCATCATCAGACTCTGTAGCTGCAACATCGTTAGGCATATTTCCGCTAATCCGAACTAATTCAGTACATGATCTCTCGACTAATGGCCTTAAACCCGTTCCTTCATTCCCCAAGACAAGAATCGTCGGGCTACCGGGTAAAACCTCGTTCAAAGCAACAGCTTTTGGAGAAACCGAACCACCAACCACACGCCAACCGTTCTCAGCAGAAGATTCTAAGAATTGCATCATGTTTTTGCAGTATCTAAGTTCCATTACTTCGAGTGAGCCAGCGCTTGCTTTACTCACAACCGCACTGAAAGGAGCTGAGTTTTTCGCACAGACCACAATACCGGTGGCTCCAAAAAAGTAAGCAGATCTTATGATCGCGCCTAAGTTCTGTGGATCAGTGACCTCATCGAGAGCAACCCAAAGAGAAGATTTCTCTTCCTCTGATGAAATCGGATCTAGTTCTTTCAATTTCACCAGTTCCAATGGTGAAGCATCAAGCACCAATCCTTGATGGGGTCTGTTATCAGCAACCATGTTAAGATCATGCTTCGACGTTTCCTTGATGTTTAACCCGAGTTTTTCAGAGATTTTCAAGACTTTCTCGAAACCTTTCTTGTCTTTCTTCTTCCTGTTGTTACTGCTCAAATCCAAACCTTCTTGAACATACAGAGCGTAGAACTCCCGTCTCCCAACAGAGAGTGCAGCTAACACTGGACTTACTCCATAAACCACTTCACCAATCATCCGAGGCACACTAGACTCAGTCACCTCTTGCCATGTTTTTTTACCCCAACTCTCTTGCCTATTCCAGTTTCGATATGCTGCATTGTCACGACCTTGATCTCTTACATCATATCTATTAAACCTATTCTTGATCTCAGACCACCTACTATCATTTGGTTCTTCTTCAATTTCCTCGCCTTCTTCAATGACTCTATCATCATCTTCGTGGGCACGATTCACTGTTTCATCTTCCACTTTAGTGATTCTATCATCACCTCGGGCACGAAAATAGTTCTCATTTCTTGTTCTTCCATCTTGTTTTTCCCAAGATGACCGATTATTACCACTCGGCAATTCCTCTTTCGCCGGTTTCTCATTAGCCACCCAAATCGAATTCCCGCTAGCTTTCTTGCTATCGTCAACTACTCTACCATCTCCTCGAGCACGAAAAGAATCTCGGTTTCTTGTTTCACCTTGATCTCTGTATCTACTTCTCCTGTCAACAGAAACCGAATCGTTTCGACCATCTCGTTTATCCCAAGATGACCTACTATTACCTCTCTGAAACCTCTCTTCCACTGGTTTCTCATCAGATTTCACCCAAATTGAATCTCCACCACCATTACCACTACTTCTCTTATCTCTAAAAGCTTTCAATGACCCTAATCCAGATTTCCCTCTACTACTACTACTTCGTTTCCGAAATCTCTGCGAATCAAAACTCGAAAACCCTCTAACACACTCAAGCTTCCCCAACATTCCAATAGATTTAAGACGAGAACTAACTAACCCATTCGTAAAGGCGTTACCTTTGGGGTTTATACAAAGCTTAACTGGTAAAGTCGAGGACTTTGAGAAGTGGAAACTTTTGAGTGTTGATTGTTGTAAAGAAACCCTAATCGCCATGGGAAATCCTTGGGTTCTTGTTAGATTACAGTACATTGTCAAACAGAAGGGTTTCAAAATTGCGGGTGAATTTTCTCCAATACAAAGCGATCTCAGAGAATGGAAGTTAAGAAAGGTGAATCTCCCATTGATAAACAAATCTCTCACTATCAGATTTTTTAGGGTTTAAGGGGAAAAAACC